ATTTAAATTTTCAAATGTTTCTCTTCAGGCATTACAGTTAAATTTGAAGTTGTGCTGTAATGAAGTGAACGTACTAGTCATGGTCCTAAGAAAAAACAGACAAAAGCAGCCAAAAAAACTCAACATATACACATTTAATACACGTATTTGTATACATTTTATATATTTTTTTTAAATATATATGCATTTAATAGATATGCAAGAATTACTGATGATGCAAAATGACAGATACTCAGATTGCTGGGAAATATATGTATGTGTGAGGTGGCTGCTTGATGCTTTTCCTGGCCAAAGAGATCTAGAAACCAGTACTGCAAAAATAGACAATATACCTGACTTGTTCAAATGTCTTTTCTGACACAGCTGCCCTTTTGTAGCTAGGAAGTGAAGCAGAGAACACAAGATATGTTTAAAAAGGAAACAAAATTTTGTGAGCTGCATCTGCTTTTTTCCCCAATGTTGAAGTCAGATATATTTTTAACATAGCTATGCTATTCCAATACTACTGTGACAAATAAGAGATGTAGGCTATGTATATTGGTTTTTAAGAGTTGGAAAAAAATCACACTGCAGAGGGACACAGTGGAGGCTTGCGAACAAAATCAGGAGAAGACGACACACCTTCCACGTTTTACGAAAACAAGGATTTTGGAAAACTGTTAGCAGCTTACATTAAGTTTTCAGTTAGGTGGATCTTGCTCAGGTTGGCACCTCTTGATGTGAGGCACATACAAGCTTCCCGCATAGATGGTTATTCCTAACACTGAGAGAAACTTTAGTGCATTTCAGCTCTTGACACAGCCAAGAGTTTTAAAGGGGGGCATCAATTATATATATATATTTTTTTAAAATTCATATTTGAATCAGCACTGTTGGTTCTGTGGGCTGTCTCCTCCCTGCATTTTGGTCTTATTTGTTCACAGTACATGGCGCTTGCATTATACTCTCATTGGCATCCTCCTGAGACTGTTTTCATGCTTTTCGAGTAGTGTTTTCCTCTGTCCTGTTCTTTAAGCTGGGACCCTCATTTGAGGGAGCCTTAGGGTCACTAGTCTACCCCTTTTCAGATCCCTTCTCAGGTCTTGGTTCTACAATAACATTTGAAAGAATTAAACTAAGTAGAGGAGCAGTTGTATATTGAGGGAGAAAATATTTTTAAGGTAACCATATACATTTTACTACTTTTCCTTCTCATTTTTATGTTGTGATTTTAGGTGGTGAGCTGTAGAAGCAGGGTCTGTTTCTTCTCTATCCTTTCTGTGCCTTGAACATTACAGATACTGTTACAGTACTGATCATGTAAGGGCGGTATTGCAAGAATAACACATTTTTAAGGTCAGAAAAGAGCATAGTCAGTTAAACAGCTTAAACTATATACTAATGCTACACATTTGCTGTCCTTGTTGACTTAGTTGCTATTCTCAATGTTCAACTTTTCTGAAAATTATGTTTGAGAACTTCAAAATTGGTCAGTCTAAAAATAGATAACATGCTATCAATGACTCTGAGAATTCTGGATCAATGTGTGTGGCTATTTCTAGTATTAATCTAGCTCCAATTCCAAGGTATTGCACCTTTTTTACAAAAAGGAATATTTTTTTCCTCATTTTGCAGCTAGGGAGGTATGGGCTGTCTTTAATACTGTTTACATTTTTGTGCAAAAGACCTTGTATCAAATTGCATATACTTCTGTACAATTAAGTAAGGTTATAGTTTTCACTACCAGTTATCTTGTAGAGGGTCATTACATTAGATTTTTAATATATTAGTCAGTGTTTTGCCTGTGCTATAAATATTCTTGTAGCTGTTCTGCGGAGAAGCTATAGCAGTTTGTTTCTTTGAAGCAGAGAATTTAGTAGGGGAGAAGATGTGGCACGCTGATGTCGAGGGCATATGTTTTTCTGAGAATGTGTTTGGATAAATGCTAAGTATTTTGAAAAATTAATTTTTCACAAACAGGACTTACCCTGAAGTTTTACTTTATTACAGCCTGCTGTGAAGGTGAGCACCACAGTGGAAATCAGGAAAATTTTCTCTCCATTGCTTTCCAGGGAGTGCATAAGTATCGTGAAGGAGAGTCTCATTGCTCAAACGTAACTCTGAAAATGCCTGGAAAGTATTAGAGGGGCTCGAGAATAAGGATTTGGAGAAGGAATCTGAGGATGGAGAAAGTTTGAAGTGGGATCAGATAATGAAACTAGGGACTAGGTGGACAAGGAGACTGAGGGCAAGAGCTAGGGGAGCAAGTAGCAGATGTGGGAAGCATTGGGAGAAGCAGCGGAACTCAGGTGTGGAACAGAGAGTGGAAATGGAGGGAGAAGGGCCAAAGGCAGTTGTGACCAAGGGGTAGAAAGATCAGAACGAGAATGAAGACAGTTTTCAGAGACGTTGCTGTGGGATGATGTTAATCACTGCTAAGCAGCTTTAATTTGTGTGCCCTAAGATACCAGCATATTTTGAGGAGGAACTGGAGAAGTCATAAGGGAGAAATTTTGGAACTCTGATAGAGATTTATTCACATATCTGAAGAAATGCAGGAAGGTGTTGGAGCAGGCTCTATATTGCTGCTGGACCACACTTCCCCTAGCATTTAGAGCAGGACCTGACATTCTTGAGTTTTGCTCTTATTGTGCTGTTGTTGCCGTTACACATAGCATCTGTCTGTGAGACTTATTGGGCCTCGTTCCCTTTTTTTTAGTGGTTCCCACTGAAATGGACAGTATAGCAATACCAGTTGCTCCATTAGCTCACCTCGCAGGGGGAGTGGTTGTTCTAAAGGCTCCATCTCTTGCTGGCAAGCCCTAGTAACACTAGGATGCTGCTGCATGAGGACACTTCATTCTCAGTTCTGAAAGCCTAGAAAAGTATGCATTTGCACACAACTACAGGCATCTAAATACTCTCTGTTCAAAGAATGGTAAAGTTTTTGTGCCCAGCTCTTGGCAGCAATGACAACTTTAACTTGAATTCAGAGTAACTGCAGCTCCTGTGCATATGTTTTGATGATAACGTTGGAATACCTAGCTCTTTCTTAGTGCCATGCACCAGTAGCTGTCTTGACAACTTCAGACAGGAGCAGATATCACACCCCATCCTCCCCCCCAACTAAAAACGGGAAAAAGAAATTCAATGTACTTGGTGCAGTGCCCACACAGGCTGTTGCTGCTGCCACTTCTCCGTTGAGCAGTGACTGCTGCCCCAGGTCAGCTGGACATTTTCCTCTCATAAATTCCATTGTATCTGCATGTTCCTAGAGCATCAGCGGTATGCTTGCATTCTCCTGCATTTTGTAATTTATTTTGGGCTACTATAAAACATAGAGAAAGTTTATGATGTGTGAACTATAAGGGATCTTTTGGGTTTGGTATCTGCTCTGTAGATACTTGCAGTTTCAGAAAGGTGCACTTAGTGACCCAGGCTCCGTCTTTCTTGTTTCTCTGAATATTTTGTGCTTACAAAAATGGCTCATGTATGTATAATCGTGTTGTGCCATATTCATGTTGATAGTATGCTTTGTTACCTTAAGAGTATAGCAAACTGTATGCCTCCATGCAAGCATTTACTACCTTGAAACTTATGTCAACTGTTGCTTTCTCCCATCCCGAGTCATCTGTTACTCAAATTCCAAATGTTTAGGTATTCTTTTTTTCAGCTAAGAGAAGGAACAACTGAAGATAGGCATAGTAAAACTGGAAAAAGAAACTGATCCTTTTACCATTGATATCTTTCTTTTAGTCCTTTCCCTCACTTTGCCATTAACTCAGTTTTTGTTCCTCTTTTCCACAGGGACATAATATACACCTATAAACATTTTCATCAAAATCTCATCAATTTCATCAAAAATTTTCATCCCTCTCTTAAATTTTTCTTCAAAATTTTTCCCTGCCATGATACACACTGGACTGATATTTGACACACCTTAGCCTGATCTGGATTAGTGTGACAATTACTTTGAGCTTACCGAAGCTCTTTTCATATTTACCTTTATGCAGTTTTATTGATGTCCTTGCCATTTACACATGAAGATGTGCAATGAAAAAAAATAATTTGGTGATTGCCAAGGAGCGTAGAGCACAAACATTGGAAATTCTTATGGTTCAGGTGCCACTGATGCTGACAGAGAATACTCTGGAGTGTGGTGTGGATGTGCTGTGACAAGACAGCCGCTTGCTTTGTGGAAGGGGTCCCAGGAGGTTAAAGCAAAATAAATGGGAAAGAAGAGAAACAAGTAAAATGTGCTTAAATGACATGGTTTTGAACCTTATATGGATATATACCACTAAATGATGTTTCAATCTTCTCTTGTTCTTTATTTCTTTAATGCTGAAATCAGATTTTTTCATAAAACTGTGTATTTTACTGCAAATATTTGAAAACTGCTGGTGTTTTTCCGTTGTCGATATTGTAATGAAATATAACTTGCCATGGATAAATATTGTTTCTTAGCTCAGAATACTTAGTGAAACTGTGTAAGACCCATGGTATGCATAAATAGACCCTCATAAAACGTAATGCAAATAATTTTCAGAAAGATATATCTGAGCATTATCTAATTCCTGGCATGAGGAGGATGAAATTTGTTTATTTTTTCCTACAGCAAATAATCACCAAAATACGTATTTTAAATGACAACAGCACATATATTCAAAATAAACTTCTTGTTTGCTTACAGAACTGCGAAATCCGAAAATGACATCAAAAGATTGCTTTATCTTTGTGTGATGCTAATGCAGCGTTTGCCTGTGAGGAGGTTTGTAGCTGCTGTTAGTAGGCATTTGTGTTTTCCATAGCATAATGCTGCCACCTGATGGCAGAAAGGATTGGGACAAAGTAGTATGTGCTTTTTCGGGCTGTATACAATGTATTTCAGTGTGATTAATACAGTGATGTCGAATGTGTCTTAGGAGTAACCATCTCTACAGGACTACTCCGTGAAACTGCAGAGAAGTACTTCTGTGGCTTGAGTTTTACTACCTTAAATGTTTTCTTTTGGCAAGTAGGATGACTGGAAGCCTAGCATCGCTTTTGTTGTTGGGACTAAAATTGAGGATGAAATCCACACCAAGGCCCTGTCTCTTGCTGTGAAGGTGCCACAGCGGAAGCTCTTCAGTGTGATAACCTATGATGACATTTTCAGACAGGTATTCCAAGAAAGGAACTTCAATTAACAAACCAAACCCTAGATCTCTCTTCTAGATACTAACTTCTTTGGTTTGTGGTAACTATAAATTTCATATTCATTCGAATTACTCTGTGGAAGTTTTAAATATTAGACTAATTCAGTAAAGTTAAAAATGTAAAAAGAAAAGCTTACTGTATAAGCTGGTCTGCTCCCTGTAAATGATGAGGTTTCATTACAGACTTTTCTTCAACGTGCTGATCACAAGAACTCCCTTCCAAAAGTATAGGGGTTTCACAAGATGATTTCTCACTGTTTTGTAGTGTTTGCAAAAGGGAATAATGAGTAAAATTAATTTATATAAATTTAAAATCTTCTCACAGTATAATACTTTTTTTTTTTCCTTGCAGATCAGAGAATCTGGGAATCAAAAGGGAAAAAAAGTTAAGGATGTGCCTTTGTACTATGAGGTAAGTTAAACCATATATTGCAGTCAGTGCTCTTTTACACTGAAGTAAATACAGCCATGTGATCATGTTATGCATACCTGAGTAAATGCAAATCTATTTGATGTAGCTGGTAAAAACCACTCAACTGTCTAGATACTTAAACTGCTTTCTTTTTGTGATACCATCAGTGTTCTGTTGGACTGCTAATTAAATAAGGATCAAGATGTGTTCTTAGGGATACAAGTTTTATTATGTTAAGACTATGTTATATGGTCATGTTTTGATGGTGGCATCGCAAGTTACAGACAGCCAATTAAGATTGTGCTCTTTCATATGTTCACAGTAATTTAGAGACACTTTCATTTGTGGGAATGCAGTCTCATAAATGAAACACCATCTCTATGTGCTAGTATCTATCATAATCTCAGTTTTATGTTAAATTCTAAGCTGGTTCATCTAGTGGAGGATGTTAGCAGGGTTAGGAATCTTGCTTCGTACAAAGAGTTCTTCCTCCTACCTTGTTAATGTTTTACTTACAGCTTGTGAGAGGTTTTAAAATTCTGTGATTAATTAGAAGATTGTTTAAAATTTTCTCAGGTAGCGTTTTATGGCCTTACAGAACTGGACCATAAAGAATTTTGAATCCCTCTAAAAAGATCTTGTTTGCATTTTAGTTCTGTAATGACTAATAAACTTTTTATGTGTCTCAGAGTTTGGTGGACTTTGTAACAGGTCTTTTTAGTTGCAGTCTGTTTTTCAGTAATGCCAGACTACTATCTGAACAAGTCCCTTTGGAATTATTTACCAGTGACATGACTGTGAATTTTATGCAATTATCCCTCTTCGTTTAGGAGTAACCTCCCAGGCAAACTCACCCTTATATTCCATGGTATGTAAAATCTCTTCAGTCCTACTGACAGAAGGATTTTGAAGTTTAGCTCTAAGCAGAAGCTTAGTGTGATACCTGTATTTAATTACTAAGAGCAATTTTCCTTGTGAAGTGGATACTTATTAAATTCCAGCTGTCAGTGCTGTGTCTCATTAGCTACTTACTTTACTCCTCAAAGACATTTTTTTCCTCCACTCCTTTAACAGAGAATATAAAATGCCTGTTCTGACCTTTTGCTTGGACTCGGTTTCCGTTCTGGCTGTAGCAAATTAAAAGATTGATCATGTTGCCACAAGCATTAAGATCCTACCTCTCTGGGCAGAGTTTGCTCCTGAACATTCACGTCCATGTGCAGTTTGTGCATTTAAAGGAGCACTTCTATCTTCACTGCCTACAGTTCTAATCTGTGTCAGGATTCATGGGCATTTCCACAAGCACATATTCATTTCTAGGGAGGCTGTAAATGAGATCCCCGATCTTTAATGGTCTTTGAACATACAAGGTGTACAGGTATGAGAATTTGGGACTGATGACATGCATAATAATGTGGTCATTAATGGTATTAATAGTAATACTGTTTCTCACGTCATTGGTATTGCAAATTGCATCTCCTGAAATGCAGGAGGCTTTAATAAATTTCTGTGCTGCAGCCTGCAATGCCTACAAGTCAAGAAACTTTAACAGACTGGGTTTGGTATATTGCAAGCTAGTTATATATCATATTAAAATAATTCTTTTCATCTATTCTGAATGATTTCCCTTCAGGGCTGCTGTGATCTTACTGTGTTTTACTTAGTATCGCTCTTACTATACAAAGAGAAAGCTCCAGGGTGACCTAGTAGTGGCCTTCTAATACATAAAGGGAGCCTGCAAGAAAGCTGGAGAAGGGCTTTTTACAAGGGCCTGTAGTGATAGAACAAGGGGCAATGGCCTGAAACTGAAAGAGAGTAGATTTAGATTGGGTATTAGGAAGAAATTCTTCACCATGAGGGTGATGAAGTACTGGAACAAGTTGCCCAAGGAAGTTGTGAATGCCCCATCCCTGGATGTGTTTGGTGACAGGTTGGACAGGGCTTTGAGCAACCTGGTCCTCTGGGAGAGAGGGGGCCCTGCCCACAGCAGGGGGGCTGGAGCTAGATGATCTTCAAGGTCCCTTTCAACCTTAACCATTCTATGATTCTATGGAGGTGAAGAGGATTAGGGCAGGGTTTATGAGTATGTAGCTAAAAGATTTCCAAATCCAGGAGAATTAGATGTCTAAGACTTTTTCTGTCTCTTCCATGACTTGGTGGCAGAAGGAGTCCCTGTTTTTAATTTTGTGCTAATTTCAGCACTTAATTAAATGATGTTAGACTCAATTTCTCATAAAGGTGCTGTGGAAATTATTTTTTTATATGGAAGGGAAAATGTTACACTTCCTATAAAATGTTCATATATTTCATAATGAATTAAATTATTATGTACAGTTTTTCCAACACACAAGACCTACAGTATGTTTGAATAAAATATATGCATTTTATGAGCAAGGTATGTATCTTTTATTGTTTACATGCCTGTTTGTTTTGTCAGCTTTCTATTAAGGTTGGTAATGTCATGTGTAATTAACGTGCTTCACCACTGCTAAATATGATAGTATTTTGGTTTCTAAACTTGGAATTTCGAAAATCCGTCCGAGCCTAAATTTTCCGTGCTAGGGTTTCTAAACTGAGATTTTTGAAAATATATTCAGGCCTAGATTTTCCATGCTAGTTTTGTTCATAAGGCTGATTATTTTTTCTCTGAAAATAATGGTGAGGTTGAGTTCAAGGGATGTGTTAATGGAAAGATTTTTTCAATTTTTTTTTTCCCTTGTAAGAGTTGTTTTCCAGTGTTGTTGGATTTCTTGGGACAGAGTCAGGAAAGTTGCCTTTATGTTACCCAGTAAATTTTGAGAAGGAATCTTATCCCATCCTCTCAAGGAAATAAGCGGGAGCTGGGGAATAGTACCATGATGAGAAAAGATTGCGAAAGAAGAATGAGCCTCTTGCGGCCCATTCATGTGAGAAGACTGGAAGTAAATAGATGATGTTGCTGAAAATGGACAGTTGAATAAGGGACGTGGCCATGAGACAGAGAAGGACGGGAGATGTGGTTCTCTTAGATAAGCTGAGATGTTCGGAATAAAGGGTCACAGAAAGATAAAAAAGGCACAAGTGGCAGAGAACAGTTTTGTTTTGATGTGAATTACAGAAGGCTGCCTTTTAAAATGTGTCCTAGTGCTTGTGAAGGCAGCAAAACTGAAGTCTTATAATAGCAGCATCTTTCCACACTTCTCTGACTCGTCTCTAGGACAAGCCATCCTGTATAACCAGAAAGGCTTAGTTGCAATTAAAAATATTAATCTTTATTGCACTACCTGTCAAGAACTAATACATTAATTCTGGTTTCTCACAGCGAGGCTCTTACCTATACTTCTCAAGCTGAAAAAATCAATCTAATCAGGTACCAAATCTAAATCATGGCCCATTCTTATCCTGGAATTCTGTGAGACTTGAGCAGAATAAATCAGTTGTAAATTGTTATAAATTGTGGGAATAAAACCCAGGAGCCAATTTAGAATTTAAGTGATTAATAAAATTTATTAAATTTAGCAAGCGTCTGAGTAAGCAAAACAGCGCTGGGCAGCGGGGAGCAGCTCTCGCCAAGGAGTGCTCATACCACAGCTGCACCTGTGCACGGGCAGATACCTTGGTTATATGCAAAGAAAGTTACATATTCATTAGATGCTGGTCGGCTGCTCCTCCTCTTGACACCTGCGCAGTGCCTCCTGGTGGTCTTGGGCAGGGGTCTTCAGGTATGAAGGCCACCGTACGTCTTCCTCACGATAAACTTTTACCTTGGTTCAAAAACTAGTTGCTCGCAGCACGTTTCGTAAGATATCTTTGTCCTTGAATTCCACAGGGGCCTTTCATCACCAGATGGTCCTTTGTTAGATACCTTTATCACTAGGTTCTTGTCAATTATTTTTTTGTTTTTATATACTCTTACAGTGAGTCCATCCTGCTAGTCTTTGTTCTTTTGCAGCTGATGCTAGATAGCTCCCCCTGTGTACAAGCCTGACCTTGGTGCTGGGGAAGATTATGTTTGCTTAGCAGGATATTGTAGCCTAAACAACTTCATTTCTAGCACAGCATAAAATTTGATGAACAAATTCTATATGCCTTCTGTTACATAAATAAATATTTTCCAGCTATAAATCCATGGGTAGGTAGTGAACCCTGCCAATAGCTCCTGCATTTTGAGGATGGGAGACAGCATAAGGAGTGTGCGCTGCACTCCAGAAGTCCTTGCTAGACATGTGATGCCTTGAGGATAGCTATAGGTGAATTTAAATTAGAAAAGCAGACAGGCATGGAAGAGTGGAAGGATATAGAGTAGAAAAGATGGGCACAACCCAGGGGAAAAGGCCATGGCACAAATGGTGTGGAATCTGTCACAGCAGCAAATCCCATAACTTGTAGGGGGTGGGAGGAGAAGGCACTCATATTGAAAAAGGAAAGGTAAATGGACTATCTGGGCTTTGGGCCTCAAATGCAGTGGAGGTGTTTGGTGTAGTTGAAAAGAAAATTTCCTACAAGTGATTTAATTTTCTTCCAATCCCTGTCTTTAATGATGCCTTTTTTCTCCTCTTCATTTTTCCTTCTCCTGCAAGACATAGAGCTTTGAAGAGTTTTCCTTCTCTCTTCATCTCTAATAAAACCAAACCAATGCTGTGGCCTTCTCAGGGCAGAGAAGGGCTTGGTAAATGCCCAGTATTTTAGCCTTGCCTCGTTACACTCTGTGGTTTATAAGAGCATTTAAATGGGAGATATGTCGCTTCCCTGAGGGCTAACTTTTCTGGGCAAGTCTGAAAACTTCAGACTTATTCTTCAAGTGTAAATAGTTTCCCAAGGTACCATAGTGAATGCTACATAAATAAATACATATATGCACAAAATAAGATCACTAAATTCTTTTTAATCTTTTGGTGGAAAAGGCTACTGACAAGAGGATTTCTAAGCCCTGTAGCCCGAGAGTTGAATTTCTTACCAGTGTTGCTGTCACTAATTGTTTAATGTTTTGTAAAATTGGTAGATAGATTTGACTGGCAGAA